ATTCTGAAGAATCACCCAGACTCCTCCAAGGGCAGTCCATCCTTCCAAACTGAACAAACTGGAAAGAAGGACCTCAGTATGAGACATGACCAAGAACCCCATGACCACAGAGCTACACAATCCCATGAGATAGGAGAACCTGTCCAGAGGACATCAATCTCTGCAGCACTACAACGATTTAGCCTCTATGGGAGAGTGGCAGAAGACAATACCAAGAAAACACCATGTAATAATAAACTTGGAGTGTTGAAGAAGGCATATGGCAGAACCCGAGACTATATTGAAAAAGCATCACTGGTCTGATGAAACAAAAATTGATGTCTTTGGCCTAAAAGCAAAGAGCTACCTTTATGTCTGGTGCAAATTGAACACAGCTCATCACCTGCATAATACTATCCCTATGTTGAGGCCTGGTGGTGGAAGCTTATCTTATGGTAATGCTTGTCAGTGTCAGGTACTGGGACACTTGTCAATATAGAGGGAATAGAGAATGGAGCCAAATACAGGCAAATCTTAGAGGAGAAGCTGCTTCAGTCAAGCTGGGGCAAATATTCACATTCTAACATGGCAATGATCCTAAGCATACAGCCAAAGTGGCTTCAGAACAAAAACATGAATGTCTTTGAGTGGCTCAGTCAAAGTACAGACTTGAATCTGACTGAGAATCTGTGGAACGACATGAAGATAGTGTTGACCAATGCTCCCCATCCAGCGGCACGGAGCCTGAGCATATCTGTCAGTAAGAATGGCCGAAAATCTCCAAATCCAGTTTTGCAAAGCTGATACATACCAAAGAAAACTGAAAGTTGTAATTGCTGTAAAAGATGCCTCTATAACGTATTGACTCAAGGGGGGAGAATACTTTCATTTTTTAAAATGTTGTTACACAAAAAAAATATTTTACCCATTAATTTTGTTGTGCATTGTATGTTGTGTGAATACGGGAAAATAAAACACATTTCAATGTATTGAAAATTCAGCATTATCTGTGCAGGTCCCACAATAGAGCTTATCTATGTTTTCCCTGAGTTTGTCAGTATGCTCACTCTTTCCAAAGACAGTGGTGACTTTAATTTCTGTCTTTACAGTAACATTTGAAAATAAAAACATTCAATATCGGCTTAATTCTTTATCAATTTAATTTTTGCTTGAAATAAGGTACTCTGGTGCTTGGTGTGTACTCATGTTCATTCATGCATGTTCATTCTTGGCAATGGATAAGCACTGAATTCAGGGTTGAGCGCTGCTTTGTGCCCTGGACTCCTGGGATAGCCTCTGGGTTGCCGGGATTTCTGATAATGGGGATAATATCTTCTTTGTGTGAACTATCTCATTATCTCAAAACTACTGCAGTGAGAAGCTTTGCTTTTCAACTTACTAAAATATGAAAGTGAGCTTTTTGTAGCTAATGCATCTACACAATAATACCATAATGTTTCTCCCTACTGAGAGCGTCATTGGACTTTAGGAGTTAGAATAATGAAAACATTAATGGCACAATACTGAAATATTATTTTCTTCCTAGATAAGTGATTGAGTAAATGATAAAACAAGAATGAGAATTTTCAAAATGTATGTAGAAATGTATTTATTTTTATCTTAAGAAAACATTTTTGGATGTGACACAAAAGGCATAACTTCTTAAATGCTCGATTAGGAAACTTAAAGATGTAAAAATGCTGGCTATTTACTGTAAGTTAAATAAAGGAAATGCTAAACATGCTTAAAGTTTTTACATCATTAACATTATTACAACAAAACATGAAATTGAAAAATAAATGTGTAAATGTTTCCCATTCACTAGAAAATATACTTCAGAAATAGAGATTATTTATAGTTGAATTACAAGGTCTTGCCAGGAGATGTTTGTGTGAACATAAATGTGTACAGAGTCAGTACGTTTTATTATATATAAGCATTATAGAATTTATAACTAATTATGCACAAATTTTAATTAAAATAAAATAGGGTGTTATTCAGGTTCATTCATTGATTACTTATTATTTAGTGAATACAAAGTCCCTGGGCCAAGCAATCTTTTCCAGTGATCTGGTTCAGCTGTGTTGATAGTGAAGTCCTCCACTGAATCTGTGGAGTGGGCAGTCCTCTAGGATGTGCTGCATAGTTTGCTCTATCCTAAAGGAACAAAGATTCTGAGTGTACCACTCTTTTCTTTGGAGATGAATGCTGGAGGGTTGTTGGATGCTGCTTGTGGTGTCACAATATTAGTTCCCCCTCCTTAAGGGTGCTCCAGCCCTATCACTCAAGACTTTATTCTCTGCACCTGTTCCCTATTCCCAGCCCACCTTAAAAGCCAGGCGCTGACGCTCATCCGGGCTC